ATCATAAATGAGTATAAACATAATATTAGCGTTAAATGGATCGTAAATGGGTTATAAATGGATTGACAATTTATTTTAATTCAATTCACCTCTCTCGTCCTCACTCAATCTCGCGCTCACTCACTCCGCATTCTCATCTCAGTTTGGGTTCGAGTTTTCTTAAATTGAGTTAAATATGAAAATGTTTTAGCAATATGGATCGGATCGGGTATGAGTTATATATGGGTTGGGTTGGGTATGGGTCATTAGATTTGCATTACATGAAAACGGGTCAAAACGGATTAAATGAGTCTATTTGAATCGGATCATTTTCAATCCGATCCAAATTCGATCTGATCCACTCGTTTGACAAGTCTACCCAACGCCAATCCGCCACCGTTGTCGACTCGAATCTCTTCCTAGCTTTGCAACATCCGGAGTTTGCAACCACCGCACTAGTTAAACCAATCTTAGATTAAATATCGCCCGAGGTCGCAGCCTTTGATCTGACATCACAACCTCAGATTGGCGATGGCCTGAGGTCGTGGCGGCAACGTCCACCACAGAATTTCAGCATAAATAAATAATCTTGGATCCATTGAATTTCAGCATCTTCATAATAATCTTTGAGAATCACGTCCGTCACCGTGAAAGCTTATTTTATGCGCGCGACTAAGGCGGCTTCTGTGCATCTCCGAAAGTTAATCGAGTCAAGTGGATGTCCATACGATAACAAATAAATAAATGAATTAATTAAAGTAATGGCCCTCCTAATTGCAAATATATCATAGGCTCGCTTCTTTTATGATTAAAAAAATCTATCACTGGCTGATAGCGCCGTGAACGGCAAGATGCCAAGATGATACGGAGTGCCTTGTACGTATTTTGCTTTCAAGCCAGCTGAATTGCATCACTCTTGGACCATTTCGTGGCATCTCTTGGATCAAACAAGTCAAGCAGCCGGCGGAAAAGACTGCACCTTTGGCTACATGTGTTGCCAACATTCCCAAGATCGTTTGGTTAGATCATTAGTATCTTATTGTTTAATCACATAAAGTCAACGCTTCTAGATACATGCCAATTCCCAAAATCGTATATTCAGATCATTATTACCTTATGTTTTATTATGGTTTCTACGTAAATCGACATACTGCATAAGAACTTAAAAACATTTGATCAACATCGAGGTCTATTTAGCTGGAGATAACTGTCCAAAAAGTTACAAACCTATTCTATAACGGCCAATTCAGTTCTAAACTTTTCGATTGTGCCAATTTAATCTTAAACATTTTGACGATTTGTCAATTTAGTCCTAAACCTTTTGAAGATTTGCTACGTTAGTCATAAATTTAGGACTAAATTGTAACAATTGAAAGGTTTATGAAAGTTTAGGATTCAATTGACACAATCGAAAGGTTTAGGACTGAATTGGCCGCCATACAATAAGTTTAGGACTTTTCGGATAATTTTCCTATTTAGCTGTGTTCATCTTACTTGTATCACTTTCACAAGGGAATGGTCTCTGGAGGGGGTTCTCTCGATGGGTTGCAAAATCCCATGATTTTGCATAAGATGCTATATCAAACTAGAGATCTAGTCGGGTTGGCTATGGCTCAACGGGACTCGAGAAGCAATGATTGTGATTGCGCAAATTCAAACAAAAACGACGCCCCGGGGTCTTTCGCTCCGATAATTACTCTATTGCCACGAGAAATGGAGACTTTCATGAACCGAAATTTCACAAGGGAATGGTCTATGCAGGGGATTCTCTTGAGGGGTCGAAAAACACTAAGATTTGCACAACAAGATATTTCAAACTAGAGATCTAGTCGAGTTAGCTATGGCTCAACGTGACTAGAGAAGCAATGACTGTGATTGCACAAATCCAAACAAAAATGACGACTTTCTTGGTCCCCCATTCCCGGGGTCTTTCGCTCCGATAATTACTCGATTGCCATGAGAAATGGAAACTTTCATGAACCGAAATTTCACAAGGGAATGGTCTATGTAGGGGATTCTCTCGAGGGGTCAAAAAACCCTAAGATTTGCACAACAAGATATTTCAAATTAGAGATCTAGTCGAGTTAGCTATGGCTCAACGAGACTCGAGAAGCAATGACTGTGATTGCACAAATCCAAAAAAAAACGACGACTTTCTTGGTCTCCCATTCCCGGGGTCTTGCGCTCCGATAATTACTCGATTGCCACGAGAAAGGGAGACTTTCATGAACTGATAGGATTAGGCGGGTCGACATGCAACGTCGTGAAAGAAGTGATTCCTAGACCCTTTTTTCCAAGGAAAATGGGCGGATGCAGACCTTATACCATACATTCCTCGTTGATTGGGAGTTGCTATTCAAGTGAGTGTGAGCACTTAGTAAGGAAGACTTTCATGTATGTGAAGTCACAAGGACAACCAACTATTCATCGTTCCAAAAAAAATAAAATAATATAGATTTTTTCTGTGCTGGTAAATTTTTGAGAGAAAAAAAGTTACCCGTCACCTAATTTTCCAGAATAATTTATCAAGACTTTTATTATGTTTTTTGCTTTTCTTTTGACAATATCATCAAATTTTTCTTGTCTTTTACTAACATTTATTTGTTTTTTTTTTACTAATGCCTTAAATTAACAACTCTCATCATGCTTATCAATCTTTGTTGGAGCGACTACCAATTTTTTTTCTAATTAAATTACTAATCAGTTTTGAGTTACTTACCACTTTTATTTGTTTTTTTTTTCATGACTCTTATTATCATTTACCCAAATTTATTTGTCCCTTTTACAAAGTTTGTTAATTTATCAACTTTTGAACAATTTTACCAATCTTTATACGTTTGATGTTTTGGTTTTTTCCCCACTAGGCTACCGACTTCCAGTTGTTTACAGACATTTATTTTTATTTTTTTTGGTAAGAATTTACAGACATTTATTTTGTAAAAAGTTTACCAACTTTTTAATTGAGTTACCAATTTTTATTTGCTTTATTTACTAACCTGTTAAATTTACCAACTCTTCTTAGAAACTACCAGCATTTTGAGTGATTTATCATTTTCCTCCAATTTAGTCAAGATTCATTTTTAGTTTTTTAAACTCTTATTTCAATTGCTTACTAAAATTCATTCATTTATTTTGAATTTACCTAATTATTTATTGAGTTACCAATTTTATTTGCCTTACTTGCCAACTTTTTAAATTTATGGATTTTTTTAAAAATTACCAATCTCAATTAAAATAATCACCAACTAACTAACTAATTTTGCATTGCCAACTCCTAATTAAGTTAGTTACCAATTTTTATTTGATTTATTTTGAACATCAACTTTTCTTATCTCTGACAAAAACAAGCTTTTGTCGTGGTTAACCCGTTTTTGTTTATATTTCTTACAAACTGCTTAACACTATTAATTGTTATATGAAATTATCAACTTTATTTGTATGACTAAGGCAATTAGTCCCCAATTAAATAACCAACTAATTTTGAGTTACCAACTCTCATTTGAGGTGATTACCAACATTATTCATTTTTCTTAGATTTGCTAATTTCTCTATTGAGTTACCCTTTTTATTTGCTTTGCTTACCAATTCTCAGAAATTACAAATCTCAATTAGAGTGATTATCAACTTTTCATCTTGATCCATGTAGCAAACACCACTAGTGTAAATAGAATGTTCTACAAGTGGCTTCATACACTATTGATTTGGTTGTTAATAAACGAAAGTGGGTAGTTACAATCATGAAATCAATGGTGAATCAAGCCGCTCGTGGAACTTTTTTGTTACACTAAATGTGTATGCTATAAAAGTCCTTTGAAATTTATAAGCTTCTTTTGTCTTTGACAAAGAAACACGTCTTCTATCTTTTACCAACTTTTTATTTACCCTTTTAGCAACATCTTAAATTAACTAATTAAAAAACCATTTTCAAATAATTGATTTTTCGTTAAACAAGGCATAATACCTATGGTTTCATTATTCAATTTCTCCGTCAGGCATCAAAAGATAAAAAGAAGGGAAGAGCTGGACAATGAGTTTGGTTTATATAAAAAGAAATAGATATGCTGACGTCATAAAAAATCATCCATGAAGTACAAATGAGTCTTAAATTTTTCATCTTAAAACTAATAAATATTTGTGCGATCAAGTTTTTTTTTGAATAATTGCGATTTTTCCTTACTAAATTCTCTAACCTATTATGTTAAGTCCAAACAACAAATTCTTGGTATCACTTCCTAGACAATGCGTTTCTCAAAGGCATAGCTTATGCAAAAGCTTAATCCAACCCAAGTCACCTCCAACTTTGCGGCCCAAATCAAATTCCCTGGACCCAAATGCAACGGACTATAACCGAAGCAAGTTCGAGATATCTTACTCTCGTATATCCTTGTGAAACGAATTTTGTACATTGACATAAAAGTGTGTGATGAAGGAAAAAAAAAAAGCCTAAATTTCTCCAAGGATCATAGCTAAACAAAAACATGAGAGTTATTCACTTTGGTCCTACGTGAAGCATTTCGTTTTCAGTCAAAGTAATCCTCAATCGACCCAAGATCCGAACGCGCACCATGGGCCCGAATTGAAATTCAATTGGTATGGACAAAAATTGGCTCGGGTTTTCGGTTCGATCTCGATGTGAATTTTTTTTTGCCCCTATTACAACAATTTTATAACACCTCACTTGTATCTATATGAGAGGAATAGTGGTTGAAGAGAACTCAGGTTCAAAAGTACTCTAGTTGCTCACGAGTTGCTCTATCAGGCCATTATGCATTATCTTGAGGTGACAACCAACAAGTATTTCTAACAAAAGATCAAGCTGGGCAGATATCTCATGAACATAACCGATCTACGAAAGCTCCTGATGTACACAACAGTTCCTTCCATATATGCTTATGTCTGAACCATCTTCTGGGTACGATCTCAAAGCATTCACAAGAGAAAAAGATCTTGCAGAGTCCGGCTCTCAGGACTTGTACCATCTGCGAGTTGTTAGAAACTTTGAGAAATGTCCAACACGTCAAAGTTCTTTGATCGAACTCGAGGTCTAATCACAGAACCGAAAAAAAAAGGGATACCACACAGTACAAGGTCGATTCACCAAGTTTCTTCATGCACTGAGAAACACTCTTGGGGGGCCCGAAAGATATATTACATGATGCGACTGATCCTAGTTAACGAGAAGGAGAAGTTTACGGTACATTAACGGGGCCTGATTGTGGGTATCACGCCACTTACAAGGTCGCTTCCAACCAAATCGGTAGATGTGTATGGACTTCTCCTGGGGTAAAGAGGCTGAGGGCCAGAATCCCCAATTCCTGAACCGGAAGCTTCTGATTCTGAGGTAATAGTGTCGGTTTCCGGTAGCATGGAAGATATATTCTCCAATTCTCGTACCACCTCCAACATTGTTGGTCGCCCCTTGGTCTGATCTTCACAACACTTGAGGGCCAATGCCATGAACTTCTTGATACATTCAGAAGGATATGGGCCCATGCTTCGATCTATGATGGAAAACATCGATCCAGATTGACAAGCTTGTAGCACCTGCCAATGCCATCAACAATATAAAGAATCACGGTGAGAGAGTACCAACAGCGGGACAACAACATGATGCTAAAGTTACGCTTCATCTAAAAATGCTGATACTATGACGAGAAATGCAATGGAATCGAATTTGAGGCCACTCTCTGAGTAATGGAAAATAAATGGTAGGATTCTATGTCGTCTTGACATAGAATTCAGTACGTTGGTGAGTTGGGAAGATAATCATACTGACACTGCCCTGGATTGCAAAATGCATGAGTCAGGAGAATACATTAAGGTTTCTCCGGTCGGGTTTATTAGGATTTAAGGGAAAGCGGAAAGAACAAGTACCTCCCTGACAATGTTTCTACCATGAGATATGGGCTGCATCCCTGTCAACAGCTCCAAAAATACAATCCCAAGGCTGTAAACATCACTTTTTTCTGTTAACTTATGTGTCAAGAAGTACTCTGGATCAAGGTAGCCCTGCAAAGGAAAATAGGATGCAGAGAATTATTAAAGTCAGCCCTTAAAATAGTGAAGCAGCACAATGTACACAAAAGATGACTATAGAGCTGGATCTCTACTAATTTACTGTTCCACTTTTATATGAAACAATGTCAGATCCAAAAGCAGCGATAATGCCAAAATTTTCTTGTTTGATACCGTACTAATGCACTGGTGAAATTACAGACAACTTGAGAGAATCACGATTGGTTTGTTGTCTTTTAGTTTGTTTGAGACTATCCATTGAGCATCAGATGATTGAGAAAAGCAGCTCTGCATGTCTACGACTAAATGGGAATGCTGGCCAGACAGGAAATAGCCATCAAGATCTATGGTGGATGGTCATTCTCCCACAGAAACAGTCCACAAAATTCTACTTTCGCTCTACATCAGTAAGATACTCTTTGTTCTTCATTTAGTATGATAAATTCTCCAACTATGACAAGCAGGGTTACTTACAGGTGTGCCCTTTACGTTTGTGGATATGTGAGCAGTTACATGACCATCAGTATTCGGTGATGGCGCAAGTCTCGAGATTCCAAAGTCCGCGACTTTTGCGTTGAGTCTGCTGTCTAATAATATATTATTGGCTTTGATATCCCGGTGTATGATGGGAGGGTCAGCTTCTGTGTGAAGGTAGAGAATGCCCTTGGCTGAACCCATGGCGATGCTCAATCTGACTGCAAAACTCAACGGGCTTCTATATCGACCTGCCAATTGATAAATATCAAGATAGAGAAGCTACACTTAAGCTCACAGCTATCAAAACAAAAACCTCGTTTGTGGATATATCTATTTATGAAGGGACATTTTGGCCTTAGAAGCAAGTCAAAGTAGCATTTTAAGTTCTTTGCCATGTTTCCTTTCATTTTTAGGTACAACAAGGCCAGATACTGCAACGTGGGATTCAGAAATCCTTCTTTTCATATTGTTAGCATGAGAAAGTAGCAATAAAAAATTGTGAGGAAATTTTAAGCCAAGTCAGCTGGGCACCAGCTTAGGAATGTTTATAGATTCTAAATCATCCTGCCTTCTGCCGAGGGCAAGGAACAGATTATAGGACGTGTGCACAAAAGTTTGCACTTGAAAAACAAGGGGGAGAATAAAATGAAAAAATTTCTATATAACCATATGACAATCTATTTTACTCAATTATGAAATGAAAATGACAGTGATCCATGTGGATAATCAAAAGGCCAAACGGTTCCAAGAGATAAACAAATTAGACAAATGAGATTTACAGAGCATGATGAACAATCACGGATACAGCCTATGAAACTGCATGACTTTTTACCTGATAAGACATTGTGAAGGGAACCATTTGGCATGAACTCATATACCAACATCTGCAGGACAATTAAAAAAAGCATATTAAACTTAGTTACAGTCATTGTCATTATTGAAATGCAGCAAACCAGTAAAATTAGGGAAACAAGAGTATTACCGCAGTGTGACAATTACGAAAGAATAGTATAGGCACAAGAACTATGCATAGTCACTTGTCATTGACAAAATTTTTACCTATGACCTAAGAGATTAGGACCTAATAATTTTCCATTTGTTAGATAGACTTAGAAGGACTTCCATTACCACATGAAATCTGTCCAATCAGAATATTTGATAAAGGCGTGACTTAGATTCTCGATTACTATTAACTTATTTAGAATGTAAACAATCCAGCTCTTGGAGACATATTCTTTACCAAGTATAAAAGTACGCAAGTCCATGTAAAACAGATTTCAAAGATCACGACGAAAAGACCTAATCGAATGCGATAGATCTAACTGCTTGCATATTCTCAAATGGAAACATTAGTTGCAGAACTAATACTGCACTTCTATTGGAACATATGATAATAACAGGAAATGCTGACGTAAGAATGCATTTCTTTCCATATTCTAAACAAATGAAAACTTTTCTGCAAGCTCGTACAAGAGAACCCAAATATCGGTGGTCAGACTCTTGGTAGTAGGTTATCCACCAGTCCATTGTGGTCCTCTGTGCTTGCATGCAGATGAGAGCATTTAGAGTCCTCACGACTCATAGTGGTAAAGATGGTATTGCATTGAAAGTATACTCTATATCAGAGGCCTCGCTGTACTAGATGATATACTCAATGTCCGCATCCTGGTTCTCACCATTCTAGATGATGCGGTATGAATCATAAAAAGGTTAAGAGCATCTTAGTCATTTCATAGGTTCCAACCTTAATGGTTAGAAAATTGACGACTTCTTATAGAGTTGATTTTCTTGCACTTGAGGTCACATGATTACGAAATTTATCAGCATGCACTCCATCTTGGCTGCACTGTAAGTTTGTACTGTATAAACATCACAGCTGAATCCTCAGGAGGGCACCTATTGGTTACCTTATTTTTTGTAATCCTACCAGGATTCACTTCTAAAGTGGAATTCTACATGTGTCATCATTCAAACCATAATATTTGACTTCAACATATGAAGGAAGTAGTAATGATGTAGGCTATCTACACACTTTTGAGTACCTCTTAGCTGGAGTTTAGCAGCACGCACCTTGTACCCTTGTAATGTACTTTTTAAAGGGTTTTATTATGTGAGAGAATATCTTAATAAGAAGCTTCATACTGTTAACGAACAGGAAAGGTAATATAACACTTCTTTGAAACATTGCTTCAATGAGCACATCAGCGCTGTCAAAATCTAGATTCTACCTGTTCACTTTGTTCGTCGCAGTAACCAACTAAGGCAACAAGGTTGCGATGGTGTAGCCGTGACAAGAATTCTATTTCGGTAAAGAACTCTTTTTGCCCCTGCAGCGATCTCTGCTCTGCACGTTTGATTGCCACCACCGTGCTATCTTCCATGACACCTTTATAAACTTTTCCATAACCTCCTTGTCCTATCTGAGCGGTGATGTCGAAGTTACTTGTTGCCTTCTCAAGATCAGCGAAGGAAAATTCTTTTATCCCTTCAACTTTCAGGGGAACTTTCGAAACTACACAAGACGAAAAAATAAATAAAGACTTCACTCTGGAGGATGAGGCTTTTCAAGGTGCCAATAATGCAGCAGAAATCACCCACCTGATTTTGTCCTGGAACCTTGACCCCGGGTCCTAGGGTGTCTTAGGTAGAACAGAAACGCAATGGCCAGGCATATGACACCTGCAGAAGAGATGGACCCAAGTACAATTGCAGCCAGAACACCCTTGCTCATGCCCGAGCTTGGCACACTAACATCTGCACATGAGGAGATTACTGTTCTCTAAAAACCAGTTTGACTGTGAAAGATAGCTTATCTGTTTCAGAAGACGCCTTTGATTAAAACAATTGCAGAGCCCCCTTTCAAATGACCACTAGAAAGTGTTTTGAGAACAAGAGAAGAAATGCTATTCCAATATAGATGGCTCGCCAGTTTGGACATGCTCATGATGCATTACATGAAATTAGAGAAGCTATCAACATTTATTAAATCTAAGGATGGATTGGCTGGATACCCTATAATGTTTAGTCAGATCTATACCTGTACAAACGACCCAATTCATTTATGTAACAAATAATTTCTGATAAGGCAAAAAAGATTATAGAAGGATATGCGATCAGTAGTAGAGAACGAGGAGGAGGAGTATATTTTATTACTCAAGAGATGCCGGCGTGTTGCACGAATCTAATAATATGTATTTTGGCCTTTCGAAAAATCAATTGGAATATTCATCTTTTAAAAATTCAATTAATGCATACAAATTCAAGAGTTTAGGAAATTATAAGTTATTCTAAATATTGTTGCTCTCATCAATGGCAAACTTATCATAGTTCATAATCAACAGTAAATTTTAAACTTATATATTGCGCAATCAAATATTTATTGTTTCTTGTATAAACTTTTTGCAAAATTCAAAATTCTCAGTTAAGAATTTCTCATATTTCTAAAGTGACCATGAAAATTGAATTGCTGGGCAAAGACCGCACGTGCCACGTGGCTCGACCTCGCGCAATCTTGACCCGCGCTCGAAACTTACCGGATTGATATTGTCCAAGAGTAAAATTTAGCAGATCATAGGGCCCGAATATATCACTCGTGTTAAGTGTAAATCTTGCGATATCGTTCATAAGCCGCTGGACCTCGCTTGCATTGAATTCACCAGAATAATTGCCAACCAGAGGATAAAATTTTAGAAACATCCTGAGCCTGGGACCTTTCTGCCATATGAAGGAGTCAACCACGAGCTGATAGAGTTCCAAGTCAAGATTAGAGGTTATGTAATACGTGAACTGGCCAGCATACGGGGGGAAATCAGATATACTAGGACTGCGTAAACGAATTCCAACACCAAGTGGTGCAGCACAGTAGCATGGATCTGGGGCGTCAGGCACATGTTCGTAACGGCCAGGGCAATGCAGATTCGGGCAGCTGCTGTTGTTCAAGTACGTAGAATTGGCAGGAGCATCAGCGCTGTCATCTTCAGGTGCACAGTAGGTGACAATGTCAAGTTCGTTTTCTCTTCTGCAAACAGGATTCCCTTGAAGCCTATGCATGGATAAATTAATAAGTCATCAAACTGCTCGCAACTGTGATAGAGCTACTAGATACAAGTGAATATGAATGGTGCTTAGTCAAGTTTATGTAAAATTAGTAATATTTAGCGGCTCTAAAATCAAAAGTTCACGATAATAGCTAAACCCAAAAACGAAAATGAAGAAAAAATAGCAGTGAATACATTGAAACAAAGGGAGTGATGGAAACTATGTATAACATGCCTACATCTTGATTAGCAGAAAGCGTACCTAATTGTGACATTTGGAGGAGGATTGAGACTGCCCACAACATTGGTAAGTGCATTGTTTTGGAACTCCCTGCAAGTAAAGATTCATATACAAGGGTAAGAGGACAAACAAATCAGGTACCTATGAAAGTTCTTCAAACAAGTAGGAGGTAACCCAGTAAAGATTTCAGGTAAGCCAACAATTCCTTTTCCTTGTGTTTCTTTCTCTAGTGCTCAATGTACAGTTTGATCTCTAACTTTTTATCTGGTTCAAATGAAAAATCTGTAATTGGGGCTTCGGGTGGGGGGTGGGGAGTGAGAGAGAGAGAGAGAGAGTGTGTGTGTGTGTGTGTGTGTGTGTGTGTGTGTGTGTGAGCGCACGTTCAATATTTGACAGTTCATATAAATATGATCCATAAAAATTCCTGGAAGGGGACTACGTGCACATACATCGCAATTTTAAGGCAGTCATACCATAAGTCATTGAACCACACAACAAAATGTTCATAGAATTACTAAGAAATAGCTAAGAATGGACCCATGATTTTATCTTTCTGCAGTTGGCTCACAATTTAAGTCTAGTTGTTGCTTGAAAATTGATATTCTGCCATATATTGGTCGGAACATCACCGGACAAGTAATTGTTGTGAAGAGATCTGCAAAAGACAAACATAGTCATCATTCCTAAGTCCATTATGTAACTACTTCCATCTGTAGAAAAATGATATAGCACCATCAATTGATGAAATGAAGTGAATAGCTGCTTAAAGCTTCAAACTAGGATTTTTCTATGAGTTTGACGGAAAACAAGAATATGTAATCAAAGTCCAGATGATCCTTACAGTTTTTGAAGATGGGCAAAACCAGAAAAATTTGAGGGAATAGTCCCATTAAGCTGATTTTGGGAGAGATCACTGCACGATGTGAAGCAAATCAATTAAATATGGATGAAGGATTATCATTACAGACGTACCTCTGACCAGTATTCAATTCCAGGTGTCATTATATTTGTATGTAAGTGCCTTTCTTGCTTATTATTTCTTTGTAAGAGCGTGTGAATGTGAGTGTGTGTGTGTGTGTGTGTGAGAGAGAGAGAGAGAGAGAGAGAGAGCAACACAAATAATTTGATCTCATGGAGCACCTACATAGTAGTAATATTTGGAGAAAGCTTGTTCGTGGGTATGCTTCCATTTAGGTTATTTGAGCTAAGATCCCTGCAAATTGAACAACAGTTTTGGTCAGACAGCATGCCCAGATTATTTGAGTCTTTTTACTTAACTTGATACTGCTCACATATCTCCTCATCCCATTTACACAGCTAAAGCCAAGAAAGAGCGAACAATTGGTAACATAATGGATGCTAACTGCCAAGCATCAATTAAAGAAGTAGAGATTGAAGCTTACAAGTAAAGAAGACCTGGGATGGTGCTAAAATCAGGAAGAACGCCTGCCAAATTGCAGTTTCTCAAACTCCTGTTAAGATCGAAAGATTCGAGTTTAAAAAGTAGAAAACTATCCTTTTTCTGAGACGAAATGGAGAAGAAATATGCAAGTTGTGGCAGTCCTGGCAGAAGAGTCGACGATCCATAAAGATGAAGAGCAAAGATTGCAATCTCTGTCCAACAGAGTAAAATTTTCGAATGCCCAAATACTGATTGAAATTAGCCTCCATGTGGCGCTGAGTTCTAAGGTAATCATTTTCACGTAAATGCAATATTGATAACAATAATTAGAAGCAATGCGACATCAATAAGCATGCATGGTTGTCTGTTTTCTCTTCAAACAAAAGAAACCAAGAAAGGTAGCCCAATGCTGGCTTTGGTTGCATGTTGTATGCATGTGTCACGGACTGTAATTCTCCCGTGCTCTCGTACGCTTATGAGTGAAGCTTGGTGTCGTCGAGGTGAAGAGTAAGTGATGCAGAGGAGACGATATAACTGGTTCGTGGGAGTGCCGTCAGGGTAGTTTATACTAGGAGTTTTAGGTTAGAATGAATAAACCTTATAAGCTCTGAAGGCAGGGTTGGCCTCCTGTGTACAAACTGGTCGGAAGCTAATGTTGCTCTCCTGATGAGGCCATGGCAGGCCGAAATCAGTTGTTGTGCCTAAAGCATTTTGTGTGTTTCGCTCGAGGGATTGGATGCTCGAGCTAAGCTGGGCGTGGTACGATCCGATACGAGGATGCGATTCACCGTACTATTCTTAGGAACAACTATAGAAATAAGGGTGGTCTGGGGTCTCAACGATTGGCCAAACACCGCACAGGCTATTCCATGGCCAAGGAACTGTCGGCCCGTGACAAATGGTATTAGAGTAGGGATCCCTCCAATAAGTGGGTGATTCGGGGAAAGCATGTGGTCTTCCCGGTCCTATGAGGGCGAAGAGTGAATTGCTAGGGCCAAGAGGGCTCGAACAGCGTGCAGCTCTCGTCTAGCTTCTAGGATGGCAATAGGGGCACATGGTAGAATCGAATTGCTCACTAAATAATAGACAACATTCCTGGATCAATTGGCTAATCTCAAGAGGAGGTATGTTATCACGTTTCCAACAAGGGGAGAATCCTCCATTGCTCTGTTGAGATCAGGAAAAGCCTAGTAGGCGAAAGAAGTAACTACCAAGGGAGTGCAGTTGGCTAGGGATGCCACACTTGTCAGAGAGCACAAGTGACTAGAGATTCACGAAAAGCTTTGATCGGGGAAAGCTACTAGTGAAGTGGAGTGGCCTATTCTGTTGGGCGAGCGTTGCCATTCATGTTAGTATCAGGGAGTGGCGTTGATGTTTAGGAAACATAGGGAAGCGACAGAACAGCCCGCAACGAGGGCGTTGCGGAATTGAGTAGGGGAGAATGTTACGGACTGTGATTCTCTCGTACTCTTACCCTTGTGAGTGGAGCTTAGTGTCGTCGGGGTGAACAGTGATTGATGCAGAGGGGATGATACAACTGGTTCATGGAAGTGGCGTCATGGTGGTTTGTGCTAGGAGTTCTAGGTTAGAATGAATATACCCTTAGGAGCTTTGAAAGCGGGATTGGCCTTCCGTGTACAAATCGGTTGAGAGTTGATGCCGCTCTCCTGACGAGGCCATGGAAGGTCAAAACTAGTTGTCGTGTCTAAAGCGTTCTGTGTGTCTCGCTCGAGGAACTGAATGCTCGAGCTAAACTGGGCGTGGTACGATCTGATATGAGGATGCAATTCGTCGTACTGTTCTTAGGAACAATTATAGAAGGAAGGCTGGCCTGGGGTCTCATCGACTCGCCAATCGCCGCACAGGCTATTCCGTTGCCAAGGAACTGCCGGCCCGTGACATATGCATGTGTGGCGTATATGCATGCAGGTTAGAGAGAGATAGAGAGACCTTACAATTTCAAGAGTTTAGGCATGTTGGAATAATTACTTGGGATACCATTCCCCTCAAAGTTGTTGTTGTCCAGTTGGCTGCAATGAAACAACATAGTTAAAATTTTAGATAGTTTCTAGTAATAGAGGATCAAAATTTCATACTTTAATTGTCTGTATGAAACTTTGTATAGCAGGATTAGATCCAAAGAACAAGACAAACAACCCCAAGCAAAGCTGAGCTCCCGCTCAAATCTTAACTGGATATACCAGCTTAAAGTTCCCTTAAATGAGCCTATACATTTTAAGGTTCCTCAATAAAGGAATTCCCAGAAGCTGTTTTACTTTTTTAAAGACCAAAGTAGTCATAATTGTTTGTCATTTTTGTTTCTGCACTTATTCACTTATTCAACAAGTAATGCTGTCCAAGTCGTTTCAGTTATATGCAACAATGATTATGTGATAATTTCAGCCTAAAAAATCATTTGCTTAGATAGCAAGGAGAAAAAAGCCTGTGTATAAAAATAAGGCTTCATAAAAATAAAAATAAAAACATACAGAATCGTCAGACTGGGCATCATATGGAGCTCTGGTGGGAGATAACCTGACAAGTTGTTGTTATCCAAAAGGCTGCAAGCATTCCATTAGACTGTTAAAAGAAAGAAGGAAAAAGACTGACATAATGTGAATAACATACTCACAAGTGTTTAAGAGTCTGTAGTTTATAGAGCTCAGGAGGAATCTGGCCACTGATGGAATTGTTGTTCATGTGACTGCAAGACACAGCATCCGAGGACTAAGAGTAACTAATCTGGTTACCTTGCCACTAAACCAAATGTTGATCTTATTATCTGTAAAGCTTACAAGTGCTGAACGTTTGACAAATTTACAAATGAACTGGGCAGTGGTCCTGATATTTGGTTAAGGTCCAGCTGAAATTTTGTTATATTGGGGAGGGATCCGAGCTCATCTGGTAGAGGACCTGATATATTGTTTCCACTTAGAAGCCTGCATTAAATATTGCCTCCATAAGTTGCTTTTGCATATTATTATCAAGTTTCATCTGATAAAGAAAGTATTTCCTGTTTGCTAATTGCGCAGAAAGAATATACTAATGAAGCTTCTATGAGCAAGTACACTGCATTCATCTCCAAGAAAATTTTGAACATCGCCATCGTGTCAAGTCAAAGCAAAAAACTTAATAAAAAGACAGGCAAGATTATATTCATACTGAAGATCTCGTTCCGCTGTTCCATTAAGAGTGTTAACTGGCATGTGATGAAAAGAAATTATCTCGCATAGATATTCTGTATCTCTGAATAAAGAGAGAAGTTGAGTCTATGCAGTAATAAACCTAATCAACATCAAGCCGAAAACATGAAACATGACAGCAGACAATTGGACGTAAGTTTGTCCGATTATATAAATGGATATGCTGAAAGCAGTTTTTGTACAATAAACAGTACTTCCCAGATATATAGTTAATCACCCCTGCTTATATAGATTCGTCCGTCATCATGCCTAATTCAATACTCTGTAACAGACGAAGGAGAAATTTATCGAACTGAATTGAAGTGCGTATAACTATCAGTGAAAAACGAAAGAAGGCTGCAGATAGGCTCATCTGTGAAAAATTCTATAGCATCGTAGCATATCCACTGGACCTAGTACAAATTAAGTTCTCACATACAGGAGGTGCAAAGAAGTCATGTTGCCGATCTGCTTTGGTATGCTGCCACTTATGTTGTTCCACATAAAATCCCTGCCAAGAAATGTTTTGGAGTTGGGAAGGGGGAGAGAGAGAGAGAGAGAGAGAGAGAGAGAGAGAGAGATCAATGGCAACTTCAACTTTCAAATTGAAAGAAGTGCGAGTTTACACAGGCATGAGCACGACACTTCACAAAAAGGAAAGTAGGACACGGTTAGACCAGCGGCATACAAGTAAGTCACATAGGTGAGTACACCAAGCTCAGGAGCTAATGTTCCTGTCAGGTTCATCTTTAGCAACCGCCTGCACACGAGAGAAACCACATGAGAACAGACTATCACCACATATATTGATACCATTTACATGTTTTAAATCAAGATCTGCTTTAGGATTTCAAGATGGAACTCCTGTACATGAATGGACAGTTTGACTCCCACATATTCAAAAGTTCTGCCATCTAACAACATAGAAGAGTATCATTGAACCAGAATCCAATGCTAGCAGAGATATTACCACAAAAACCTATCAAAAGATTTAAAGCTAGAAAATTCTAAAGGAAACACCAAAAGCAAATATCAGATGAAACACCCGAAAAAACATAAAACTAATGGGAAATCTGTTTCTCACTAGATAAGCAATGATGGTATCTAAAGTAAGGTTTAGCATATATTTGTGAGGCAGAACAGGTCAATCGGTACTTCAAAACAAGAGAGAGAAATGTTCAGTTCTTTAAAATCATATATAGAATTGAACATACAGTTCTTGAACTTAGGTAAACAAAAAAAATGAACTTACAGTTCTTGAACGTGCAAGTAGCCATCAGCTAAGATCTGTGTGCAGATGACTCCAGTCCATTTAGAAGTGCAGGGATCGTTCTTCTTCCAGTTGCGAAGATTGTTATGTGGATCTCCAAGATTACTACGAATTGCTTTCAGAGCACTCACTGCAAAGCATTAGAATCCATCTAATCATAGCAAGAATAAGAACAACCGCAAATCGAAAACATCATCTTGTTTGCTTGAAGATCATCTTTTTCTCGCCATCTCCTTTCTGTAATTCTCAGGGAAGAGCATAACTTCATATACCGACAGATATATTGCAAGACCACACGACAAACAAGAAAAAGCAAAGAAACTGACGTTCTGCCGGGTGAATGATCTGTGCCGAAGCGAGCGAACCGAGCCAACATGCCGATAAAGCAACGGCCACTCCGACCAACAGAAGCCGTTCCCTCGCCATCTCCGAAACACAAAGTCAAGCACTATCAAAATAGAATCGAACTCCCCTCATTTCTCTATATATAAACGCCAGTTTATCGAGAAGAGAAACGAGAATGCATATGGAGACTGGGTGAGGTCAACCGAGCGGGGAGTGGCGGGAAAGGGCCGTCTCTGTAGACGCCGTGGATGCGATGACGTGAGGACCGTCGGGGCCGGGTCAGAGGGACGGCAGAGAAAGCTGGAAGGTCATGGGATTCGGCAGAGGGTGCAACTTGTCTCGGATTGTGATGGGAGTTCCTGGTTATTTTATGCACAGAAACTTGGGGACTTGTTCTTCTTCCTCCTGGAGAGTGCGTGTGTGTGTGCAACTTGTGTGGCGCGAAAGGCTCGCGCTGCTTTGGTCATGTCGAGCTTTTTTTTACAACGGACGTCATCTGCAGTGCACTGTGAAATCTGAGAGTATAACGTATGTAAAACGACCATGACAACGGTGGGTCCTGTACAATATTTGATGTGGTCTCCAAACTGTTTTTTTTTTTTGCTGTTAATTTCACAAAAAACTCCAAATTAGTACATATATGATAAATTTACCCCACGCTAATTTTTTGAACACCAAAAATCCCAAACTGGTACGTCTGTGACAAATTTACCCCCCGTTAAATTAAATTAATGCCACGAAAAATCACAAACTGGTACACCCGTGACAAATTGAGGGTTAAAATCCCAAATCGATACATCCGTTAACTGCCACATGTCATCCAATTCAGAAATTTGACGGTAAAATTTAACGGAAACAATTGGAGGATTAAATTGTCACAAATGTACCAGTTTAGAGTTTTTTGTAGTCAAAAAATTAGTTTGGGGTAAATTTGTCACATGTTTACCGGTTTGGAGTTTTTCGTAGTATTAACCATTTTTTTGCATTTAGTTTCTAAACATTTAGGGTCGACCGAAAAGATTATTATTTAGAACTTTTTTTTTCTCTTTTTGTTTCCATTATCTTCTTTGACTTCTTAAAATCTAAATTATTATCTAATTTTACAAAAAAAAAATATTGCACATTTAAAAATTTCTAGATTAAGAATAAGTTAAAAGGGCATAAGACTAGAAAAAACACTTTATATCAACGAGTGTTTTAGTCGGCTTTTGTGCCTACCAGACTAACACTTTACATTTTAAAAAAAAGAATGACATGCGGATGAAGGAGACAACAAGTATTTTCAGGGACGGTAATAATTTCCACCAAGCGAGCTTTTCCTAAAACCATATTTTAATAATAAAAATAAAATTATTCCCCGGGGTGCATAAACAAATATTCCGGTGAAAATTGTAGAAGAAGTCAAGATGGAAGCACTTAATTGATAATTCACCAATTCAGGTACCTCTCTCAATTTTCCTCAATTTTGTGGCACTTGGGACAGAGACATCGACTTATAATACTAATTAATCTTACAAAACTGTGGGCATAAACTATAGAGAAGCCTCAAATCACTGAAATTTCAACACCTTCACTAACTCTTGGACATGAAATTGAACCAATCATTTCGACTTAGATACTTTATTCCCACATCATTGGACTCGTTCTTTGCATTTTCATAGTCAATATATATAAGGCGTTAACTAGCCAAGTCAAATGCTAATCCACAATGTTCTTAAATTCGATTTTTCCTAGAGTCGATTAGACATTTGAAAAAGGAATTGGAACTAGATTTCATCTATCGAAGTGACGAGCATGAATTGATCTCCCACCAATTGTTCTATCAAATGTTTGTCAAAGTAACTCCGTCACTTTCGCATACCTATCGAACGGCAGCCCTTCCTGCGAACCCCATCTAAAGTAGAGGATAAGAACCTCTTAATAAACAAAGGTTTTGACTTGTGCCAAAGGAAAAGGGAATAAGTTTAGACTTAATTCTTATGAATTGACCAAACTCCAAGTCAGAATGCGTGCATGCGTGCACAACTCCATATATATCGCAAAGATTTTGTTGACAAGTGCCTTCGGGATACTAGTTAAATACTTGATAAAAGGTTTTCGGATCACATACTTCTTCGACAATGCATGCAGTCGGCATTAGGCATGCTTAACAATATAACACGTATAATGATGCATTTATCACATCTGATTATATGTGAATTTGGAGACACGTCTATATAAGTGATTGTGTGTATAAGCATGTGTAGATATTCATGTATTCATGAGCATAGATTTCCACCATCTTGGGACATCTTCACTACACAGCCAACTTGCGGATATTAGCATCAATTCAAACTCAATTGAATACTAGATTTCCGTTTGGTCACTAGAGCCGGTTGTCATTCTAAACACCTTTACTTCAAAAAGTAACACTATTATTTAGGTAAGATTGTACATTTCAATTCTATACTTTCACGTTTTTTTCTAATCAAGATTATATACTTTTAATTTGCCTAATCTAGTTCTTCTTTTTTCACGGAGAACCTTTCACCGAACGTCGTTTCGGTTTTTATTAAGAGGAGGCGGGTTCGGTGGGGATTCCAAATAAGAGTCTTATTGAATCATAAAGAACAAATATGCTTCGTCGGAATTTAATCAACGACAAAGTACAAAATACTTTATCGGAATTTAATTGATGGCAAAATGTAATGATAAAGATACAATGTCGGAATTAAATCGACGATGGAGATATCTAAAACTACAACTAAAGTAAGGGAATTAAAAGATATTTAAATTGTGGAAAAGATAAATTGCGAAATTGTAAGGATAAAGATAAATTTACGATAAAGTGTTTTTTACGATAGGGCTTTACAAAGATTACACTGGGGTATTTAAAATAGGGAAAATTACCAAAAAAGTCCTAAACCTTTTGTAATTGTGCCAATTCAGTCCTAAACCTTTTGTAATTGTGCCAATTCAGTCCATCCGGCCACTTTTGGCCGGCCGGCGTTGACGTGGACATTGGCCGGCTGACGTGGCAATATTTTATTATTTTTCGAATTCTTTTTATTTTTTTCTCTCTTTTTTTCCCCTATATTCTTCCCCGGTCGCCGGTTCGACGACCGGCGAGAGGCTGAGGCCGGCGAGTTCAACCTCGCCAGCCATGGGCGAGGCTGGCCCTCACCGTCGCTGGGCGAGCTCGACCTCGCCCAGCCATGGCGAGGCTTGACCTCGCCTGGCAACGGCCAAGTCTCGCCAGATCTGGGCGGCCTCATCGTCGCCGGGCGAGGCCATGACCGGGCGAGGCCTCACCCGGCGACAGCGAGGCCACCTAGATCTGGCGAGACCTCGCCCGGCGACGATGAGGCCACCCAGATTTGGCGAGACCTCGCCGTCATCGAGTGAGCTCGACCTCGCCCAACGACGGTGAGGCTCGCTCTCGCTAGTGCCGGCAAGGGCCAGCCTTGCCCATGGCCGGCGAGGTGGAACTCGCCGGCCTCAGCCTCTCACCGGTCGCCGGCGACCAGGGAAGAAGATAGGGAAAAAAAAAAGAAAGAGAAAAAAATTCGAAAAAAAAATTATTAAAATATTGCCACATCAGCCGATCGGCATCCACGTCAGCGCCGACCAACCAAAAGTGGCAGGATGAACTGAATTGGCATAATTGCAAAAGGTTTAGGACTTTTTTGGTAATTTTCCCATTTAAAATCTCCTAGAGATAGTTACAACTTTGGAATTCAAATAAACAAATAACTTCTTAAAGGCAGTTACTAAAAGTTACTTCACGAACCCTTATTTAAAAAAAGTTATACAAATCCTAAATTAATGGATATGTACATAATCACCCAACAGACATCTTCTTGTTGATTGCTCACCATCAATAGTGATGACTGTGTTAAGAAACTTCAAGGCTCGTCGATAACTGTATTGTTGATGACTTCATTAACGAGTTGTCGATTCCTTTCATGTTATTAATAATTGTGTTCACAAATGACCATACTCTACTCTCATTAACTAAATCTATCACTGTTCGATAATAAACAAAAGTTGGTCAATTTTCTTTTTGTGTATACGAATATTTGATTAATCGCGGACTTTTAGGAGTATAATGATAATATCATCGGGCAAGAAGGAAATCGATCTCCTATTCATTTTTCCTCATGAAGGTGGAGTCCAAATGGCCTTTACATTTTCAAATTTGTTTTAATTTCGACACATAGTATTTTTCAGATTTTGAAAAAAAAAACCATCTAACTGCAGATTTTTTTCATGTTTAAATTCACACTAAACCATGCCCATACAATGGGCTACTATCCACCCGCATATGACATCTCTCTTTAGTCTTTGATAATGGCAAAGTTACTAACTAAGTAATTAGTCATATTTTGGAAATTTTAAATCTATTCATGGAGTGAAATCATAAAAGTGTTGCTATATGTTAGTTAACTTAGATAGTTGTACCAATTGAGTAAGGTAAAAGAAATTTGACCAAAAACACTTCACGTTATACTCGATGGATATTCGAACTGGACTGATCATAATTGAATACATCTAAGTATTGATGGAAAATAGAAAAGAAACAAAAGGGAACTAGATCTCAACAAGTGTCATGGGTCAAAAGCTTCTTGGCCAATGACAAGTCTGTGTGGTGTCTAGTGAGTCGAAACACTAGGCCAATCTTTTCGCGAGAGATCGTTCTCAAAGATAGTGTAACTAATTGCATCCTCATAAACATTGATGGTATTACATCGAATTTAACTTGGGCATCTTATATCGCGAGTAAGATATACATTTCACTTTCAATACAACAAACGGTTTCGACTTGCGATGGCCATCATTAGGAGAGTGATATTAGCTCCTGAACAGTTTGTTCATTAGAGGCCAAATTTGCCTTTAAATATCCTATAAAATGATAATCATTCCATCCCTATCTTAGCACAAACATCCTGAGCCACTCCCACAAATCAGTTGAATCAACCATTCTCCATCTCTCACTCTTCATTTCGATACTACAAAACCCCACGTTTCAGCCCATATCAGTATGTGAGAAATCGGATGGTAACATTCTCCCTCACCCAAATTCAACGCCGTCCTCATTGGGGGCTATTCTTCCGCTTCTTTGCATTCTTCAACCATCGCCGCCACTCCCTCTGGACTTACATGAATGACAAATACTCACCCAAAAATATAGACCAATCCACTCTATCATTTGCTACCCCCTGTCAAAGTTGTTGGCGAATCTCCACTCACTTTGCACTCTCCCTAATAAGCGTGACATTATGAGCCTACTATGCTCCCTTAGTAGTACTTTCTTTCGCCTACTAAATTTCTCCTGATCTTAGCAAATCAACAACCATTTCTCTTCTCATTGATAACGTGGCAATAAATGTCTTCTTAGAATCTGCCCACATAGTTTGAAACCCTGCTCTAATATCACTTTTCACTAGCCAAAATGTTCATGAACAAGGACATGCCCGTGCGGCACCCGTTGAGCAGCAACTCCGGCCTTCCCTCGATAGATCATCCCTAATGACCATATTACAAATGGAATTTCCATAATTGATCGTATCACGCCCAATATAGCTCCAGCATCTAGTTTCTGGGAAACATACGTATCACTCCGACACAATAATTGATTTCGGCCATCCTTAGGAGAACAACACCAACTTCTAACCAATTTATACACGAGAGGCCTACCCTTCTTTAGGAGATCCTCTAATATTATCATATCCCTAAATTTCTAGCAGAAACACCCCGATGCCGCTTTCACGAAATTAGTTACTATCGATCATTCTCCGTCTCTCGCTCTCCACCCAAAATACCACCAAAACCCCTCTTTTCAGCCCAAATGGACACGGAAGAAATCGAATCGAGACACCAGTAGCCAAGGCTCGGCTTCTTGTCAGTCCACCACCTGCAGAAGTTGGACGATTGCTAGTCGAGATCCTTTTGTAATTTTAAGCCGCAAGAGCAGAAAAATAAATCCTAAAGGCAACATAATTTAAAAAAAAAGAAATAAGATAAAAAAAAAAAGGAGAGAAAATGTAAAGCCTTGTCCACGCATTAGGAAAAAGAAAATGCAAATCCCACAAAGAATAATTGCAAATTAGGGAAGGCAACTAATTAAAGTTCGATCTTACAAATGGTAAGAAAAAAAATTGCAAAAATTTATAGATACCTATAAACTTTTCTCAAATAATAAATAGAAAATATTTATTAAAAGGGGAAAATTTTGAAAAAAAAAAACAAATAATGTTTTTTGTCGAGCAAATAATGAACAGAATATAGACCTGAAAAACATTGAACTGAAGAAACCCTCCGTCTCGTCCATCGTCTCCATCGTCCATCGTCTTCGAAGCTCGGAAACTCTCGCTTCGCTTCCTCGTTTGAACAGGCGGGGCGGCGAGCATGGCGTCTTCCCTCGTGAGGCAGCGGCGCCCCCCGGCGGCGGCGCTCTCTTCTCTCTTCTCCCTCTCTCGGAACCATTCCGCGGCCGCCCATTTGGCCGCCTGGCGCCGCCGGACCTTGGACCTCTCGAGAGCCCTCAGCACGCACGCGGTGCCGAACGAGTATCCTCCCGCTCCACCGTCTGATTTTAGGACTTTCAACGGAAACCCAGATGAAGGGGCGCAACAAAATCAGTACTTTCACCCTCAGAACCCGCAAGGGAGCGCTCATGGTTACCAGAACCAGAGCTATCCCAATGCGGGATGCCCTAGTCAGAGTCGGAATCATACAGGCCGCGGATACTCTAGTCCTGCTCCGGTTTATTCGCAGCAGCAAAGCCCTGAACAGTGGAATAAGCAGGTTCCAGGACAGGGTTATCCTGGGCAGCAGAATCCTAGTCAGTGGAATACCCAGAACCAGGGCTATGGTCAGTATCAGAGCCCGACTCGGGTGAACACCCCTAACCAGGACTATCAGCAACAGCCCAGCAGCCCTGATCAGTGGAACAACCAAAATCATGGGTATCTGCAGCCGAATAATCGCAACCAGTGGGCACCACAGAACCCGAGGACTAATCAGTGGAACCATCAGCAAGCAAATGTAGTGGGTGGGATGGAGAATCGGGCGACGGAAGCTCCTGCTCCGGGGCCTTCGATTGCTGATCTGAGGCAGTTGTGCCAAGGAGGGAAAGTTAAAGAAGCTATAGAGTTGATGAATGAGGGGGTTAAAGCCAATGCTGACTGCTTCAGTTGGTTGTTCGATTCGTGTGGGAAGTCCAAGTCTATTGAGAATGCGAAGAAGGTGCATGATTACTTTTTGCAGTCGACGTGTAGAGGCGATCTTCAGATGAAGAACAAGGTTATTGAAATGTATGGGAAGTGTGGCAGTATGATCGATGCTAGGAGAGTTTTCGATCACATGCTTGATAAGAACATCGACTCGTGGCATTTGATGATAAATGGGTATGCGTACAATGGGTTAGGGGATGATGGGTTGGAGTTGTATGAGCAGATGAGGAAGTTGGGATTGAAGCCAAATGAACAGACTTTCCTTGCAGTTCTGTCAGCATGTGCCAGTATAGGGGCTGTGGAAGAAGGTTTTATACATTTTGAGTCGATCCAGAATGATTATGGGATCAAGCTTGGGATTGAGCATTATTTAGGGGTTATTGATGTTCTCTGTCAACCTGGGCATCTTGCAGAAGCTGTGGAGTATATTGAAAAGCTACCATTTGAGCCCACATTGGAGGTTTGGGAGGCATTGAAGAATTACGCCCGGATCCATGGCGATCTTGATCTTGAAGACCATGTTGAGGAGTTGATGATGGCTCTTGATCCTTCAATCACTACTGCTAATAAGATTCCTACACCACCACCCAAGAGGCGCTCCGTAATCAACATGCTTGAGGGGAAAAACAGAATCAGCGAGTTCAAAAATCCTACTCTTTACAAGGACGACGAGAAATATAAGAGTGGAAAGGAAGGGGGTTATGTACCGGACACAAGATATGTACTTCATGACATTGATCAAGAGGCAAAGGAGCAAGCCTTGCTCTATCACAGCGAGCGACTCGCGATAGCTTATGGACTTATCAGCACTCCTGCAAGGACGCCTCTTAGAATCATTAAGAACCTTCGGATCTGCGGCGACTGTCATAATGCGATAAAGATCATGTCCAAGATTGTGGGTAGGGAACTAATTGTTAGAGACAACAAAAGGTTTCATCACTTCAAGGATGGCAAATGCTCTTGTGGAGATTATTGGTGATCCCTTCTTGTTTATTTATACTCGTTCCGCATGTACCTAATGAGAACTGTCTTGCTCTAGGCAGTTGGCAAAAGATACTGAGAAGTATAGCTTTTAGTGATGGAATGAAGTGATGCTGCCAATTGTAGGGGTGAATGTTCCTGATATATTCTCTTCAGTTACCACAGTTTTGCTTGTCCTCTTTGTGTCTAGTTCTTCAGTTTTCTGGTTTGGACTGATATGCAGAGTTAGCCTCCTTTTGCGCTTTTAGGATAAAGAATTGGTTGCCGATGCACAATAACGGCACATGTTGCTCGGGACTTGGGTTTTGTTCACTTCTTGTGTGCTTGGATTGTGCTCCTTATTCATATTTACTTTGCCAAAATGCTGATATAGTATAGGATGTGCGTGTATCTTTTGGTCATCATCAAGGCTCTCGTGGATCATGGCTGAGTACATGACGATGCCCTTTGTCATTATATTTTAATCTTGGGATAAGTGGAAAAGTGCATTTTCTTAAGACACGTAGCACTGATATGGCGCCCATCAAATGTCAAATCATAAAAACCTGAAATTTTAAACAGAAAAGAGGATAAAAAAATCGATGAAAACAGAAAGGAAAAAAAAAAGAAGTGATGAGCTTTTTTCCTTTGTTTTTTCTTTTTGGTGGTTTGACTCTGTTGGAGACAGATGCAGAATAAGAACAAGAAGAAGAAGCTACAAGAATCGCCAGCTCTCAAGCTGTGCTCTCTGAATCTCTCTGAATCACAGACCTACAAATAAATGAAGAAGACAAACATTCTTGAATCCTTCAAATCACAAAGCGCTTCTTGTAAACTCAGTCCTTGTGATCTAGATTTTCTTATTTATTGATGACGTTTTGGCAACGAGCGAAAGATTCGAAGCACAAAATTCTGATGCTCTCTTACAGAACAATTCAAGAAGCCAGAGCGGCCATGGCCAAGCTCAATGAAACTCGACTAGCCATTGCCACAAGCTTGAAGAAGCTTGGAAGCTAAGGCAACCATGGCTGTGAGCCCAAAGAAACTCGAGCGGCTATGGCTAAGCTTGTCAAAGCTTGAATGGCCATGGCCGCGAGCTTGGAGAGGGCCTTGAAGCTAGAGTGGTCAAGGCTGAGCTCAACGAAACTCAAAGTGGGAGCGGCCTTGAAGCTAGAGTGGTCAAGGCTGAGCTCAACGAAACCTTGAAGCTAGAGTGGTCAAGGCTGAGCTCAACGAAACTCAAAGTGGGAGCGGCTTCGAAGAAGCTCGCGTATAGGGTCGAGCTCGGCAAAACTCAAATGGCCATGTTCCTGAGCTTGAAAAGGCTTGGAAGTTGGAGTGGCCATGACTGTGACTCGAAGAAGCTCGAGCGGCCATGGCCGCGAGCTTGAAAAAACCTAGAAATTGCAGTGGCCATGGCTGAGCTCGACGTAACTCAAGCAGCAGCTCCAGACTTTTTTTCCTTAAACTATTTTTTATTTTTGTACTTCTTATCTTTTTTCTTTTGTCCCCTTTTCTTTCCTTCTTTTTTTAATTTTGCTATCCTTCTTCTTAAAATGCTCAAGTGTTTTTTTTTTCAAACGTGGAACTTATTACGAGCTTTACAAAAGTAATAGAAAAAGTCACGTCAATAAGTTCCGTTAACCAACTTAAACGGAATTAACTGAGAAATTTAATTGTACCAATATAATAAATTTTAAAACTTAATTATACTTTTAAAATATTTTAAAACTCAATTATATACAGACTTTTAGACAATTCACTTATCCCTCTAATTTTTAGATAGATCAAAATCAAACATGCCAAAAAGAGCCTTACCAAAAAAAAACATGCCAAAAAGAGTATGATTGTTCCTTGCTTGAAAACACGAGCGTGCGAATTGAGTTCAGTTCGTGTTTGGCATACTCCGGACCAAAATTGTCGTACATGGGACCGACCATACCCGGCACCCTTTCCTGATCGAGAATTCAATCAAATTGCCTAACTTTGGAAATTGGATCGAATTCATATCCTTTGTCGCCCCAAAAAAAAAAATCCATACGTGCATAAAGTACTAGCTAATTCAAATCTCTCCAAAAAGACAAAAAGGACAAGCCGATTCAAGTTCGTACTGCACTACTCTTTTTATCGAACATATTTTACTTTGCCTCTAGAAATATTACAGTATCACTTCTTATGAACAAACCACAAACTTGTTGAGAGACCCATTGAAGTTTAGCCACCCTTTGCAGTCCATTCCTCAGGATTCGGAATTGCTTGAGGACTCATCAATGACGAAATCCCAGTGGTTGTTCCGAACCGACCGCCAAAACTTGTCATATTCGCATAAAAGAAGAATGGGACCCGGTATCTGAACATTGCTGGATGAATGGACCCAGATGTACCACAGAAAATGCGATCAGTGCTTCACGGTGATGATATGCCCCGACACGCAATCAAAGAGCTTCGAATAAAACGACGCAGTAAATCCAGTCCGGTTTTCAAGGTATAGATCACAAGAAAGTCCTATCATGAGTCTGCCAGTTTCAACCGCGGAACGATATTCATCGATTGCAACTCCTGACAATAAATTGCACGTCACTGACAACCGTGTACAGGTTGGAATACCAAGCACAAGGAAGGAATGATGAAATTTCAGCTACAAAGTGAAGTAGTTTTGGGTGGGGGGAGTTCACACCTGGATTAAAAGCTTGCAAGCATATGGCAATTTCATAGTTGAAATGTTGTCCCCATTCTTGCATGAAGAACATATTCCTGTTTTAAGCTTATAATTGTAATATCCTAACAAACCACAAGCTCTGCAAACCTGCCAAGGAATGAAAACTTGAAATGTAAGATGATAGCTTTCAGCAATAATTCATTAATCAGTGTGTCGATAAATGATGATAAACACTTTCAGACGGGAACACGTTGCAACATCATTTCATCCGAATCGAGGAAAAATCCTGGGTGCACAATTTACCAAACCAATGCCAGCAAGTTTGAAAGTAAGGCTTATTCTGAGTGGATTTCAGGTTTGGTTTCCACTGGATAGTGATTTAGAATGACTATCGTGGCAGCTTAATACTTCGACGAAAAAGATTGGCCTTTTCCTTTAAAATTACATATTCATTATTTTTTACAACAGATATAACATGACAGACAATAATGTTATACAATTCCTCAGGCAAATCTGTGCCACAATGAAACAAAATCTTTATTTGGGAACAGAAACATGATTTGATTGATACCTGAACCTCGAAAGGATCACTAGATAACATCAGGCGCTCGTAGATAAGCATACTTGCACCATAAGCGATCAAACAATCACGTTCCATCTCTCCAACTCTTAACCCTGGATGACGTTCAAAATGATTATAAATTATAGATACTTTTTTATGCATGTAATCGAATAAACAGATAATGTAGAGACCTCCATTCCTGGCTCTTCCTTCCGTTGGTTGTCTGGTTAGCATCACACGTGGACCACTGCCCCGAGCATGCATTTTATCCAAGACCTAGACATTTCACGTTCAGAGTCACTAGTTGCTAATATCAATATAGATGGGAAATCTTCGGTATAGGAGACAATGTGGATTGAGGATTTGGAGAAAAACTACTCTCTTTTTAATGGACAGTCCATTGCAAATTTCTTCAAAATTAGTCAGAGTGGAAGGGATAATTTTGTCAACAGTTTATTATTATCAATGTTTCTAATTTCAATGTCCTGCACAAAAGTAAGTCATGCGAGAAGGCAGGGAAGATTATTAATTTGCCGGTTCTCTGGCTACCAATATATGGTTTAACTTTCTCGGTTGCATTAGGATTTTAGCAATGTCTATGACCAAGTAAAATGCTGAACAAAAAATTGAGGCTAAAAGATGACCAATATCTCAGTATTCTTGAGGTAATAAAGCAAATATGCATACAAAATAATTTCGGGGAGAGGGAGAGAGAAGACAGTAGATACTTAAAAGTTATGGAAAGGAAAGTACATAAATGAATGACAGCTACTAAAAAATATACATCAAGAAAAAAGTTTGAAGAACATCTAATTTCCTACCAAAAATTGGCATAAACTTTGAAAAGAAAGCTTTGAAAGATTATCCTATTAAAAAGAAAAAAGAAATGGAGGCTAAATCGTCGACACTAAGTTGCAGTGAAACCTAGAAAATTTGCTATTATTTCTTGGGTATTCAGCTACTCAAAAGGGTTATAAGTGTTATTATCCTCCTTCTAGGCGCAGTATTATATCTATGGATGTGATTTTTCATGAGTCTACTTCTTATTATTCTACTCCACCTCCTCAGGGGGAGTGTCCTAGGGTAAAGGTGTTGCCAATTTTAGATGTTCCTGAGGATATTACTTACTCTCCTCCTCCTCCTCCTCCTCCTCATCCTCCTCCTCCTCCAATAGTCTCTGATAGTTCCCCTCCTTCCCAAGAGGAGAACGATGCAACACAAGCAGAGGATAGTACAGTACCTCAGGAGGAGATATCAGAGGTTCAGGGGGAGACCACACCTGTTAGGCAAAATACTGATATCTTTCAAAGGCGAATTGATAGTGGGGAAACATTGAAGACATATCGTCGTAGGGATCCCACTACCAACACGCAGGTTAAGACCACTGATACATTGCCTATTCAATCATCATCTCCAGATCCGGATTCTACTACTCCTTCTGGTGAGGTTTCTCCTTCTGATCTTCCTATTGCACTCCGAAAGGGTATTAGAACTTGTACTCAACATCCTATATCCAACGTTGTCTCGCACAACTCTTTGTCCAGCTCTTATCGTACTTTTGTGTCTTCTCTTTCTTCTGTTTCTATTCCACGGAATTGGCAGGAAGCTTTTGCAAATGAGAAGTGGAAGGTAGCAATGGTGGAGGAAATGCATGCTTTGAAGAAAAATGACACGTGGGATCTTGTTGTTCTTCCTCCTGGGAAACAACCGGTAGGATGAAAGTGGGTGTTTGTAGTCAAATAGAAGATGGATGGTACTGTGGACTTAAATAAAGCAAGATTAGTGGCAAATGGATTTATTCAGACTTATGGAATTGACTATCAAGAAACCTTTGCTCCTGTTGCCAAGTTGAATACTGTTCGAGTGTTACTTTCGTGTGCTGTAAACCAGGGATGGGATCTTCAGCAATTAGATGTGAAGAATGTCTTTCTTCATGGAGAGTTA